TTATTAAAGATTACAAAAATCACAAAATGTTGATAAAAGTTTAGCCTCCGTCGCCGCAAAATCAATTCCTAAAGTTTCGCTGTTTATGACGTTCGTCGCAGGCGAGGTAAAAATCTGCTATTTCGCTATGTGTTTTTTTGTATAGCATTGTGGAAATATTTGCATACAGTTCGAGATTGCATGTGAGTTACGTAAGCACTTAACTGTTTTTTATATCCTGTGGTGTTTGTCGTTGATGAAATATGTTCGCTGTTGTTCTGCAGTTTACATGTTTTGCGACTATTACTACACTGTAGTATATTATATGTTTGTGCGTTTCTCTGTGATATATGGTCTTGCGTGTGTTTGATCTGTATTTCTGTCACGTAGTGTTATCATTTCAGCGCCATTTTTAACATTGTCATAAAGCGGGAGGTTTGGCTAGCCATTAAACCAAGTTCAACCCACCATTTGTTCTTAAAATGGCCTGTACCAATTCAGGAATATGACAGTTGTTATCAAATAGTTCTTTCTATGTATGTTAAGGGTTTATTTTTGTTCACTTTAGTGTTCCTGTTGTTCGTTTATTTTCCTCTTACAGTTGACATGTTTCCCTCGGTTTTAGTTTGTAACCCGCATTTGTTTTCTCTCAATCGATTTATGACCTTTGAACACCGGCATATTACTGTTGCCTTTATTTAGTAACAGTGTCCATGCTGTTGTTTGCCCCTCAAAATCGACGGACTTCAAGTGATGACAATACATGTAGCTATCCGCTATCCCCAAAAAATGTTTTAGGGGACACAACTTAGATATGGGTCAAACTGATCTTTCTGAAATTTTCAGCATAGGTCCATTTTGTCATGATGAACCCTCAACAGATTTGAGATAAATGTAACGATATTCGAGACATTATCAAAAAACTAATGTGTGACCATTATGTCCTATATTTTCAAGTTAATAACTGCGGCTGTGTTTTTAAGGAGTCAAAAATCAAAGCACTCCAATGGAAAAAGCTATGAAAATCTTCTCATTAAGAACTACAGGCCATATTGGATCAATCTTAGAGAATGGATGATCCTTATATGATGAGGATTAAATATAAAAAAAATCGTAAGGGTTCCGCGTAACCCAGTGTCTCGCCTACTTTTGCTGTTAATTGCAGGCTCAACAAAAATGAGGAAAAAAATCAATAAAAATAATCCTTTAGATACTATCTTTTGATTGTAAGAAGCTTCTGTCAAAGTTTGGTATAAATCCAGGATAGTTTATGAATCTAATAAATGTTTTAAAAACTTTAACTGCAGACTGTATTTAATGTTAACTGGAAGAAAAACTAAGTCCATTTATAAGTAAAATACGGATAAACAGGTACAAATTTTAACAAAATTTCCTTCTAGATACTAGCTTTTGATCATGAACAAGCTTCTGTTCAAAATTTGGTACAAATCCAGGATAGTTTAAGAAAGTTATTAAAATTTTAAAAACTTTAACCACAGAGTGAATGTATTGTTTCCTGGCAGAAAAACTAAGTCCATTTATAAGTAAAATACGGAAAAAAAGAAATTTTTTTTTAACAAATTTACTTCTGGATACTATCTTATGATCATAAACAAGCTTCTGTCTAAGTTAGGTACAAATCCAGGATAGTTTAAGAAAGTTATTAAAATTTTAAAAACTTTAACCACAGAGTGAATGTATTGTTTCCTGGCAGAAAAACTAAGTCCATTTATAAGTAATATACGGAAAAAATGAATTTTTTTTTTTTAACAAATTTACTTAAGGATATTATTTTATGATCATAAACAAGCTTCTGTCTAAGTTTAGTACAAATCCAGGATAGTTTAAGAAAGTTATTAAAATTTTAAAAACTTTAACCACAGAGTGAATGTAATGTTTCCTGGCAGAAAAACTAAGTCCATTTACAAGTAATATACGGAAAAACAGGAATTTTATTTTTACAAAATTTACTTCTGGATACTTTCTTATGATCATAAACAAGCTTCTGTCCAAGTTTGGTAGAAATCCAGGATAGTTTAAGAAAGTTATTAAAATTTCAAAAACCTTAACCACAGAGTGAATATTTGTGGACGCCGCCGACGACAACGACGACGACGACGACGACGCCGACGCCGACGGAATGTAGGATCGCTATGTCTCGCTTTTTCGACTAAAGTCGAAGGCTCGACAAAAAAGAAGATGTGGTATGATTGCCACAAGAAACTAAATGCCACAGAAATTAACAACTATAGGTCACTGTACAGCCTTCAACAATGAGCAAAGCCCATGCCACATAGTCAGCTATAAAAGGCTCCGAAATAAGAAATGTAAAACAGTTCAAACGAGAAAACTAACGGTCTAATTTATGTACAAAAAATAAACGAAAAACAAATATGTAACAAATCAACAAGCAACAACTACTGAATTACAGGCTCCTGACTTGGGACAGGCACATACATACAGAATATGGCGGGGTTAAACATGTTAGCGGGAACCTAACCCTCCCCTAAGTTTGTAGGAATAGTTGTCCTGGGGGACATTGGTTTAAAGAACTTGGGGTCCAACGTTTAATACAGGCTTCAATGGGGAGGACGCTGTAAGAATCTCATAAAGAACCAACAGTAGCAATGCAGTTATAATTTGCATCAAGCATCAGTAGGCCATTGTGTACAAATGAAGGTACAGAGGTCCATGGATCTGAGGACTAGGAGTCCAAAGTTTAACAGTCTTTATTTGGAAAAGCTTAAAATTCATCTTCTTCAGAATCTGCAATGGAAATGCAGTCATATTTTACACGAATCTGTACATGCCAAACATAACTAGAGGCTCCAAGAAGCCCGAATCGCTCCCCTGTTCAACTGGGTCTCATTTGACTTGATTATAGAATAAAGTTCTAGTATGTACAAGTAAATAACTTTAATTAAGCTTGATTGCATATAGTGTTCATTATTCTCCAAAAAAAGATGAAAATGTTTACGCTTCAAACTTTGCTCTCACTGACGACCATTTTGAATTTTCTATTGCCTCAAAAAGTGACAACGCTAAGGTTGTCGTAATTATGACATAGCGATCAGGAGCCTGTAATTCAGTGGTTGTCGTTTGTTGCTGTGTAACATATTTGTTTTTTTTTTCATTTTTTGTACATTAATAAAGCCGTTAGTTTTCTCGTTTGAATTAAATTGTTTAACATTTGTCATTTCGGGGCCTTTTATAGCTGACTATGTGGGGCTTTTCTCATTTTTGAAGGCATTATTATGACCTATAGTTGTTAATTTCTGTGTCATATAGTCTCTTGGCAATCATAATACATACTATTTTATATATATAGCGATGTCGTTATAACGACATAAGGATGTCGTTATTACGACATAGCGATGTCGTAATTACGACATAGTGATGTCGTTATTACGACATGCTATGTCGGAATTACGACATAGTTATGTCGTTATTACGACATGCTATGTCGTAATTACGACATAATTTTTTTTTAATGACCCTTATCGGCTTCCGTAATTAACCGCCGCTTCAAAATTTTTACTTTCCGAACAGTTAGTCTTGAGCGTACCGGATGGTTATTCTAGAAACACGCATTGGGCACAAGGAAACTATATCATATTTTTTTATATGTCTCTGCAGAAAGCAAATGTTTTGTCGGAGCAAGAGCAAAGAGGACAGGGTATATTTTGTGTACGGTTCTTCAACTAGAAATCTGTTTTTGTTTTCGTACTTTCTGTTTGCCAAACAAAAAATGTCTTAATATATGTAAAATAGTCTTTTTGACATGTTGCCAAACGGATGGGATATGAACATGTCTGGTTCATAAGAAAACATTACCCAACAAAGTGGTCTAGCTAGACTGCTACAATATAAAATACATTACCCAACAAAGTGGTCTGGTTAAACTGCTACAATATAAAATACATTACCCAACAAAGTGGTCTAGTTAGACTGCTACAATTTAAAATGTTTCTTACCTGCATGTTTGAACTTGTAATGAGCAACACGACGGGTGCCACATGTGGAACAGGATCTGCTTACCCTTCTGGAGCCCTAAGATCACCCCCCAGATTTTGGTGGGGTTCGTGTTGCTCAGTCTTTATGTGTCTATGTTGTGTTTTGTGTACTATTGTTTATCTGTTGGTCTTTTTCTTTTTAAGCCATGGCGTTGTCAGTTTATTTTCGACTTATGAGTTTGAATGTCCCTCTGGTATCTTTCGCCTCTCTTTTCTAAATGAATTAAATGAAAAACATTAACTCTTTTTGCTTATACTAAAATTAAACATATGAAATTGTCTTTACAAATGCATTCAAAACAAAATCCAAAGTTTAATTATGTAAATAAAGAACACAAAATATCTTGAAAAAAGATATCCCAACTAAAATTTATAACACATGAAATAAAAAAACAATAGGTACAAATATGGAAAACTAACCAAATTTACAATATTTTCTAAACTAAATACAATGTATATGCCTTATTTTCATTTGCATGTCATATTTTACATAATTTTAATTCAGAATTTGGAGTGGCGGCTTTATTGATGATAACTGTATTCATATATTTTCCCAATGCGCCTCCAACACCTCCTAGTGAATCGGCTGGTATGAAGCGAACATATTTCAAAGAAGGCACGATTAAACTTTTCAAGTAAGCGAGAAAATGTCACATGAAAACACAGTGTTTGTCATTATTCAGATTTTTTTTTGTCAAAAAGGTCCTAGAACACTGTTATTTCGTAGTGCATTTCTTTTTAGAAAGAAACAAGTACCGAACTTCTGCTGATATGAAATCATGCCGTCCTAAACACTTATATCAGTTGCTGTACTTCATAGAAGAATCCTCACAACATCTTTATAACCAGTACAGACCATATATCTAGTAATATCCAGAACAAACTACAAAATTTCTATGCAAAAAAAAAAGTATAATGTAAATTTAATTTCAAAATGTTTGTTTGTTCTTGTTTATTTTAGTAATGTGTACACTTATGTTCATGTTCCTTTGTTTATTTAAGGATGTGGAAGTTTTGGCACATAGCTTTAATGTTTGCCATTCCTTCAGGAGTCTATGGTTCATGGGGATCAGTGTTGGATGTAAACTTGAAACCTTTTGGAATCTCACAGGTATATCATGCCAAGTACAGTGCCTTCAAACGTTTCGTATGTTGTAGAGTCTGGATAATCGTTTTATCCATTTTTGGTTGGTAAAAGTACAAAAAAATCAGACTTTAATCGCTCCCGAGTTACCGGTGAAAGGGTTCTGATTGAACGATCACAGCTTATTTTAGATCTTTAAAGTAGAAGAATGCGACTAAAAAAATATCTTCCTTGTTGTCAATGTGATTGCCATTGTTATATGTAAGTTATATGAAACAATATTTTATATTTAGAGATGTCCAAGGAAATTATGTGTCAACATGTTCTTCTTATATCTGACAGAAAGAAGCTGGTTGGCTAGACTTTTACGGAAGTATTGGAGGAACAATATTTGGAATACTTCTTTCAAGGTACAGTAAATTAACAGAAATGACATAAAATCTTGTCGATGAAATATGAAAAAAAGATTTATTTAATTCTTACCCGATTTATACTTTTTCCTACCGCTTGATTTACTTTTAGTACAATCATCAAGTTTATACGCTGAATTTATAATCAGAATAAGTCCCTATAATTGTGGCAGTACCAAAGTATTGACTTCTTTGCGGATTTTACTCTATATAGGTAAAAAGTTGAAGAAGATAACCAAAACATTTCACACTTATATAAGGGAACAGCCATTAAACTTTTGAGGGGGGAGGTCATATTTTTTTCAATTTGAAAATCAAAACAAATGAGCTTAAACAGTACAGCCAAATCCGTCTGAAGTCATCTTAATTTATAGATTGAAAATTTAGTAAAATATTTATTTATATCATAATAGTACCGAAATACTAGTGATTGAGTGTATGATTCCCGCGAGGATTGAGGACAATATACTTGTACAAGAGACATAATTTCGTTTGAACTTAAGAGTCCAATGGAGGGAAATGTCTACCTAAAATATCATATTACATAAAATACTTAAAATCCGACTTTGCATTGTTGTCGACTTCTAATACTGCGGACTCACTTTAATATTACATAGAATTATTGTTCTTTATATAGAAATCAGATGCGGTATGATTGCCAATGAGACAACTCTCTACCAGAGACCAAATTACGTAGAAGTTAAAAATCATAGATCACCGTACGGCCTTCGACAATGATCAAAACCCATACCACAGAGTAAGCTATAAAAGGCCCCGAAATGACAAATGCAAATCAATTCAAATGAGAAAACTAACGGCCTGATTTATCTATAAAACAAATAAACGGAAAACAAATATTAATACTCATATTTTTCAATCTATCATAAAAGATTGAAGAATTATTATTTTTTTTAAAAGTACTTTATGTTAATGGTTACATTTCAGATTTTCGGACATTTTTATGAAAAGAATAAAGTCGTTCCTTGTTGTAGTGTATTCTGTGGCAGCGATATTCTTCGTCATCTTTACTCTTATGTGTACGAATGTCATACATCCTTATACAGGTGAATTGTTAGAATGGGATATAGATAAGTATATATGTCTACCTATTAGGAATTTTATAATTATAGATCAATGCGAAATGAGTCTATTTGTTCATTGATTTCTTTATATCAGATATGTTACCCTAGTCATATAGTCAAATTTGTAAGCAATGATGCAAAAAGAGTCATTGTGACTTCACAAACAAATGTAACAATAGAACACATATTTTTAAGGTTTTTTTTTTAATTTATTTTAATGGAGTTTTCATTGAAACTTATTGTTTATAATTCCATTTGTAGGAGTCCTTTATTTCACTTGTATAGGAGGCAGTACATTAGTGGGCGGAGCAATGCCACTATTTTTCGAACTTAGCTGTGAGACAACATATCCAATAGCGGAAGGTGTCACGACTGGTTTCATGACATTAGCATTAAATATCACTGGAACCATTTTTTTACTTCTTTCATTAATTCCAAACATTGGTAAGTATCTGTAATATTCTCATTTGATTGTATTAAAGTAATCGAAACATATTACCGTAACAACCCTATTTTGTCTTTGAACGCAAGCTGCCGAGTTGACAGGTTTTCTACTTGAATTTGTTTTATTATTTTTAGCTGCCACTATTATACACAAATTATGAATGTTGAAAATGTGAAATAAAAAATAAAAACCATCTATATGTAAGCAACAAAAAAGTGTATCAAATGATTTATCAAAAATAAATATCAGCATAAAACTTAACCTTTAACAAGTTGTCTATTATAAGAAAACTTGGATTGCTGGATTGTTGTCTCATTGACATTCTCTACACAACTACATTTGTATCAGAAAGACATTTATTCGTCAAAAATTCTAAGAATAAAATATCGAAAGTGTCAGAAAAGTCGCACCAGTGCCAAAGCGGTAACTTTTTGGCGGATAATATAAAATATTGGACTATTCCTTATATTTCGACAACACCTCAAAATAATCTAAGATGCCAAGTTAAGTGCGTAAATGGAACTTTTCACATAGACATTTGATTAGGTAAACAAATTCATTATATCACATTATAACTTATCTTTCAATTTAATGGCATAGTTTCTCTCTCCATAAGATGAGCTGTGTCGGATAGAAATCGACCTTATGCAAATCAATATTAATACACCTGTTAACTTATTTTGGGTTGAAAAAATCTCTATGCAAAGTCTGTAACTGTTTAAAAATTGAGTTGCTATAAAAACCAAACAAAACAGACCAAAATTTATCTTTTATTTCGTATTTGAATGTTCCAAATCAAGCAAAGTCTTATACATGTACATGTATACGTGCACTTGCATAAGGTCGGTTTCTATTCGACGTTGCTCAGATGAAGATCAATATGAAATCTTCATCGTTTACAAATGTTCCAACAAAATGCTTTACCTAAATCATTCTATCAGAAACTTATTTTAAATTCCTTATCGTCAATTACGTACGAAGAAAAGTGCGGAAATAAGAAAAAATGACAAAAAGAGAAAAGGATGTATATACCCATTGGCATGGGAAACAACTCAATGAACGGTAAATTTGGTCGTTGGCCTTATAGAGGATTAAAGACAGAATAACATATCTGTTAAACTGTGTTCTTATCAAGCTAATATAAATAAGAAGATGTGTTATGAGTGCCAATGAGACAACTCTTCATCAAAGTCACATGTGTAAAAAGTAAACAATTATAGGTCAAAGTACGGCCTTCAACACGGAGCCTTGGCTCACACCGAACAGCAAGCTATAAAGGGCCCCAAAACGACTAATGTAAAACAGTTCAAACAGGAAAACCAACGGTCTAATCTATATAAAAAAAACGAGAAACGAGAAGCACTTTCAAAAGAACCACATCAACGAACGACAACCACTGAAACAGGTTCCGGACTTAGGACAGGTGCAAACAAAATGCAGGGGTTTTAAACGTTTTAACAGGCGCCAACCTTCGCCCTAACCTGAAATAGTAGTGTAACATTACAACATAGAAAGACACACTATAAAATATTAATTGAAATGGCTTAACTCAATCAAAAAGACATATTAACAAAAACAAGTAAACATACACTGAACGAATAAATTTGATCTATGACACAATGTCAAAAAGACAACTATAACCTTGGACAAAATGGTGTTAAATAAAATAATGTACACAGGTAAGTATATTTTAAGTTAATTTGGTATTTCAGTGACAATCTGAATATTAGACTACTTTCACATTCGTGCATTCCCTGTCCATTTCCAATGTAACAAACCTTAAATTAATTCACAATAAAAGTAGATTGAGCAATAACGTCCAATACGCCTATTGACCTCGGGTCAACCACCGCAACTCATTCATAAAAAAAAAGAACGAAAAAGGTGAGCATTTGTACATACTGTATGACTTTAGATGCATAATTCAGTAATTAAAAATGTATCCAATGAATTCTAGTATTCAAGTTGCTTTTTTTTAGACTTAACCGTACTTAGTCCTAGGTTATAATTCTGATTAAAACTTCGTCAAAAATGTAGAACAGGTACTGTATGTGGAGCTTATTAACCTGTTTTTCTGTTTGTTTTTAGTTTTCAGTACTGTTTGTTGTTGATATGTATACAGCGTACCAGTTTCATTCTTTTTTTGGCAAAACTGTTTTTTTATGCGAATTTTGTTTTTAGAAAGAGTGTTTCCTTAGTATCTACTGTATCATTTATAGTTTAATTATTTAACTTGTTTTCCAATTTTAGGACCGATATGGCCAAACTGGACATTAATTGGTTGTATAGTTGTAACAGTGCCAATGTTGATAGCTTTCAAAGCTGATTACAAACGAATAGATGTTGATGTTTATAATAAACCGGATTGATACTTTTATCATTATTAAAAAAAATATTGGGAAACTGTACATATTTTGATGCTAGAGGAGGTTGTAGTGTTATTGATTATATTATTGTGTCAGAAGATATTTGCGTGAACCCCCTGAGGGGTTCATGCTTATATATTGGTGAGTTTTGGGAGTGTCTATGGGCCATTCGATATCCTCGGAATCAAGATTCTCGGAACGTCTCGAAAATTTTCGATCATTTATACCGGTAGTTATTTATGTCTTTGATATGGTCCATCTATGGATAGGCTACCACGTGACATTGTATATTTCAACAATCAAAGTTCATTTGTAGATTGGAAAGTAAAACAAGTAAAGACTAGGTTGCAGTCAAAAAATCATTTATATGTTAGAACCTATTTGCCTTTTGACAAAACATATGTGTTTTAATAATGTGAATGTTTATTAAATATCAAGTATAATGATAACGCAATTATATAATTCATGCTTTGAGACGGTCTCTGTACGCGTAATGTGTGTAGTATTTAATACATTGTGCATTGTGACAATAAACCTGGGAATAGTTTATTGATATATAATGTCCCGGAATAAACTGATTAGTTCTGAATGTTTATCATTTGATATTTTGTATTTCAATCATAGCATGGGAAATTGTCGGAAAGCATGAAGAAAATTAAGAAAACGATATTTCTGTTTAAAATATTTATCTTAGGTCGGAAACACAGTGGTCTGAAAGGAGAAAGAGAATATTCATTATTAAGTTTAAACTGAGACTGAATTTATTCTTAATAGAATATTATAATTAAAATTGTCATATATACGTGCATTATGTCTCGCAGGTTTGAACAGTTATTACATTTATGGAAATTATATGCAACGTATGCATGCATATCAATTTCATTCGTGAATGCGAATTTTTGCTTTTCTTATCTAAATTCATAACACGGCAGTAAGAGCTTGACATGTGACTTTCAAGCACGGTTATCATTACTTACGGTATTCTGACCTCTAGCTGTTTCTCTGTTGTTTTCTTTTTTGAGTCACTGTCCTATTATAAACTTTGACATTTTCGAATGCTAAGGATTTTCCAACCAAGGAATAGATTATTTAACTTCGTACTTTATTTGGCCTTTTTAACTTTTTTTATTCGAGCGTCACTGTTAATTCTTTGTAGACTTAACTCGAGTCTGGCGTACAACATTTTAATCCTGGTATCTATATAGCTACATATCTTTTTATATTAATTGGTTCTTTTGAGAGTATGTTCAGGTGTTCATAAAACTTCTGAAAATAAGATATTCTTCGAAACCAAGTTTTCCTGTAGATTATTTGGATTGATTTAATTAAAATCATGAAATCCTTAAAACTTGAGATGTTTTATGAGACCAAAACAAATCTCTATATAAGAGGTCCCTATGAAGCTGGTGTGTCACTCTCAAAAAAAATATACGAAACCTTCTTATAAGTTGCATGCCACAGGGTTTCGGTTCACATGGAAATTGGACTTTAAATTTATCTATACATCTACCATGAGTACAGACAGCTTCAATAACGAGTTGAGAATAATTGAAGGCATCCATGCAGGAAACAAAATATGAAGATATGATAGATAAAATAAATGCATCCAGATTATAAAGCAAACTGAGTGCTTAAATTTATATTGCGATTGGTTTGTGCAATTTGCATTAGACATCTGGTTTGTAGAAACTGGGATTTACAAAAGGGTTATGAAAAAAAATGTACATTCCCAAGTGACAAATAAAATAGTCGAGCTTTAAAATGTATATTCAAATACTGTAGCTGTAGCTGTATATATACACTTTTCTATTCACAACTATCCAACATTGCTTTCAATTGAAATGTGCAAGAATCTACACACAATTACATATTTTTAATATAGGTGTTTTAACATCATCATTATCTTATTCTATTCACAATCAATCATTTCAATTCAAAAGCAAACAAAAATTACAGCAATAATTTTTTTGTGACCAGTCAGCAGTCTTGGGTTCACGTATTGCTTTTCTTTTTTTAAAGAAAGCAACTTGTTTCCATTACATTTCTTATTTTAATGCACTACCTCGGAGGCTCCAGTGGAAACATCTGGTCATTGTATTATTAGAATGTCTTTAAAATTTAATGTCCCAATAGTCAATCATGACAATGAATATACTAATATGGAATTTTTACCAGGTAATTTTATTTTGGACAATAATTGTCATGAAACATATACAAACGATATTTCATGTAAAGAAGTCAGAAAAACTCTAAAATGCTTGAAAAACAATAAAAGTGGAGGTCTTGACCTTATTCTGAATGAATTTTTGAAATATGGTGCAAACAGCTTAATATTGCCACTAGTAAAACTCTTTAATAACATTTTTGAGTCTGGTATATTTCCAGATACTTGAAATATTTCAACTATCTCTACTTTACATAAAGGCCGTTCCATCTATGACTGTAATAACTACCGTGGAATAAGTATTGGAAGCTGCTTAAAAAAGCTATTTACCAAAATATTGCACTTATAGAATATTTAATAACATTGAAGAAAACAATTTAATTGAAGATAACCAAGCCGGTTTTAGGCAAGATTACAGAACTACAGATCAAATATTTATTTTGAAAACACTGTTAAATAAATACTTACATAAGCTAAAAAAACCTATATTTGTATGTTTTGTTGACTTTTGTAAGACATTTGATTCAATTTGGAGAGTAGCTATGTATTTCAAATTAAGAGAAATTGGAATAACAGGGAATATCTTTAATGTTATAAAAAATATGTATTCGAACACATTTTTCTGCATAAAAAAAGAATAATTTCATAACCAATCCAATTAAAAATGATAAAGGTGTCAAACAAGGAGACAGTCTTAGCCCTACATTATTTAATATTTTTTTGAATGATTTAGGTAAATGCTTTGATGACAAAGACAAATCATGTTCATTAGATCTAGGAAATCATAAAATCAATCATCTACTATTTGCAGTTGATCTGTTACTTTTATCAGAAAATAAAGAAGGTCTACAATATTGTCTTAACAAACTAAACTCCTACTGTACTACATGGAATTTACAAATAAAATTAAATAAAACCAAAATAAAGATTTTTAGCAAAGGCAAACAAGATTATTCAAAATATAATTTTTATCAAAATAATTCACAAATTGAAATTGTGGAAAGATACAAATATTTAGGCATTGTATTTTATTTCTATGGTAATCTTAAACATGCCGCAGATGATCTCTATAATAAAGCTCTAAAAGTCTTTTTCTCTGTTAAAAGTAAATTTTATAACTTCCAAGAGGTACCATTGAAAACCTGTCTTAAACTTTTTGATAGTCTAATTTAACCTATTTTCACATATAGTAGTGAAATATGGTTATACGATTATAACATAAATTTAGATAATTTTGACAATCTACCAATTGATAAATTACAACACAAGATTTCGAAATCTATTCTGGGGGTCAAAAGACAGTCATCAAATATGGCTAGTAGACTTGAATGTAACAGGAATCCAATGTTGATTTTCTCATTATGTTTAATGTATTATTATATGAGACTACTTAAAATAAATAGAGATAAAATATTATATAGTGCATTTACTGCAGATCAAGAATTATCTCAAGAAAACTCAAAATGCTGGTTTTCTACTCTAAATAAAATATTTAAAGTACTTAAACTTGATACAAAAAAATTGACAGATAATAGTGTTTTTAAAAATAGTCTAATAAGATATTATAATCAGCAATCTGACTCACAACTACAAAAAAATCAAATCTGGAGCTGTGGACAGTAAACTGATGTTTTACAGTTATATTTTTGTTCCAAATTTTGTTCCCTTTTATCTTCAAACCAATCTTACCAAAAATATAAAAAGTAAATATTTTTGTTCCAAATTTTGTTCCTTTTTATCTTCACAAACCAATCTTACCAAAAATATAAAAGTAGAATTACACAACTACCTATAAGTGCTCATTGTTTAAATATAGAACGGGGTAGATATAATAAACCCAAAATTCCAAGAGAACAACGCTTTTGCAAATTTTGCACTGAAGTAGAGACAGAAGAACATTTTTTGATATCTTGTGGTAAATATAAAGATATAAGGCAAACTTTTTTCCAATCTTATGGTTTAGATTTGAAAGATTCAGATAATAATTATTTTTCAGTTTCTAAACTTTTAAATCCACAAAATATTACTGAATGTAATTATTTATACAAATTTATTAGAGATGCATTAGAAATAAGAAACAATTCTTAAAATTATGGGTACAGTTGTATTTTTATATATATATACTACATGTAAAACTTTGAAATGTTGTTTTGTATATTGTCATATGATTTGTAATGGAGAACACTATTGTACTATTAGTTATCGTAATAAAGAATCCGAATCTGAATCATTATTGTGTTTGCTAATATGTTTACTGAGAATGTGGTCACTTTAGAAAGCATTGAGTTTAATAGTTGTAAAGTTTGGATTCTTTCTGCTATTTAATATGATTCAGGTAAAGTATACGTGATTGGGCAGTGCTTTGGTTTTTATAAAACTTTGTTTGCATAGGTGAACTGCACATGAAATAAAAAAATCACAAATGTGGCATTTACGCCTTCATTATAAATCAATCAAAAATTGTGAGATAGATCTGTAAATGTATTGAAAGCTAGTTTTAAGTAGCGTCATAAAAGGATTTTGTTTTGCTTTAAATTGCCATTTTCTAAGAGTTTTGATTACCACAGGTATGTCATTGCTGTGGTCAGTTCCGTTTAAATGTAATAAAAATACACGGGGTCACAGGTTTCGTTTTGCTGTCTCTATCATTTGAATATGAGTGATGTATATAAAAACATTATGAACTACGATTTTGCACGTCTAGAAAATAAGCACGACAATTGCTTATTTTTATGCAGCCCTTTTGACGCTCTTTTTTACACTGAATATCGAGACCAAATGATTTCGACTAAAAAAATAATGAAAGACCCCATTGAATTTTATATCATTAAAACTAAAAATTTCCTAGAAATAACAGATAACTTTTAATTTTGTTTCGCTTTGTTCCGTTAGATTTGTTTGTACGTCGCGGCGAGTAATATCCGAAATCATCCCATAAGGGGATATATTTGGATGACCATGTACACAATTTTTAATGAACCAATCATTTCGAGCGATTCTTTGATAGCAAATGTGTACCCGCAACCATAGATGGATACAACTGAATAAAAAAATTACTGTTATACCGATTAAATGTTTCATCGTTTTACGATTCATAATGTAAAAGATTAATAAAACAATGAAACTTTACGGCTAGGCTAATAGATGTAAGAAGATGTGGTATGAGTGCCAATGAGACAACTCTCCATCCAAGTCACAATTTGTAAAAGTAAACCATTATAAGTTAAGAAATGTTAACGATAAGGTCGGTACATAAATTCAGAACAATTCGGGGAATTAAATGGTCCAAACATAGAATTTCCGGACTATATTCAGAAAAAACTTCGCAGTTTACCAGATAATGATAGTCAAAAGTAAAAAAAAATAGAGGCTCTTTAGAGCCTACATGTGTACCTCACCTGCATATTCAACAATGGCCATTTTTTTTAGTAAAAATCATCATTAAAGGGAAATCAATCTATTAAGAGTTAAATGACAATTTAAAAGGCCCCGAAATGAAAAATGTAAAACAATTAAAACGAGAAAACTAACGACCTAATTTATGTACAAAATAATGAACGAAAAACAAATATCACATCAACAATCGTGTCTTGCTGATCGTCTTGCTATTTAAAGTTCCTATCTATCTAATATAGTTTTTAAGATATTAGGCAAAAACTAAAAAAAAAATTTAAAATCGTCCTTAGGCCTATAAGGCAATCACCCTAATAAGGAGTCGACTGAAGATTTCGGCCAGGTGACCTAAAAATGAAATGTTTTGGAGGTATCGATTTGATTGGATATTTGACATGAATCCTTATGGGACGTTTTCAGTTAATACACGCCGAGACAAACAAATTTAATGGAGCAAGGCGAAAGACCTGATTTTAGTCAGTTTTGTTTTGATATTTAAGCTCCCAGTTGTGTTATAGTTTTGGCTCTCTAAACCTCTCCTCCCGAGCGTACATGATAAATGTTATTCTAGAAACACGTGTTGCGGGACACATTTATCCTGTAGACGCTATCAGTATCGCTCTGTGTGTAGTTCTTGCAATTCCCTCAGGTTTTTCTCTTTTCAAGGGTATACTGCAGATGTATTTGCATCGGTCAACTACTGTTAATTTGGATTGCTAATTTGTACGCCAGATGTATATGAGGGTCAGGAAGAGGGTTCTTCCTTTCTGTATTCTTTAATTTTGATTTAGTCATTTTTATTGGAGTTATATGGGACTATTTTTGGGACTATCCTATCATTCCAGAATGAAACCTTGTCAACTCAGCTCATCTGATATTGTTTGACAGTACGCTTTCATCCTAAGAAAGATTGCAGAAACCTTGTTGTTTTGTATAAACACTCGTAACTTGCAAAATTATTTTAAATTTAGTCTTGAGCCATCTTTAAGCATGATTGATAATATGCAAATCATACCACATCTTCTTATATCTATAAAAAAACGATGTAATGTTGCTCCAACATTAAAGCACACATTCGAATCTATAATAAAGTACCATAAAAGATACATTTCATTTGAACTCTGGTGAATAGTTGTCTCATTGGCAATCATACCACGTCTCCTTATTTTTTTATACATAGAGATTTTGTGTATTTTTTTTTCTATTAAAGGTATACTGAAATCTATGTGAGCAATTATAAAGTACAAATTTTTACTCATTTTTCTCACCCAGCTTTTTACGTATTAAGCTTACAAGTTTTTAAGTTTCCCTAAATTTTAGTCAGTGTTTTTTTAGGATGCACACTTTCTCTTTTGGTATTGTCCTCTAATTACAGATGTCTATATCTTTACACAGGTAAAGACCAAGTACTTATTTCATATTTATTTTCCTTTGATTCAAAGTATTAATAAAAATCTGTGACTACATTGGAGTCAATGTTTCAGCTGTGTTATGTCAAGGTTGTTAAAGGAAAAAAACTAATGCAACATAGATTATTGAAAAGTAATTTTTTTTAATTAACAGCCAAATAAGTTTGAGTTAAAAGAAATTATAAGAATCTAAGAGATCTTTTTGTGAATTTACAGTTCTGATTTATCCTTTGGTGTGTGGAGTTCTTTTGATGTGTGGAGCTGGAGCGGATTTATAGGAAGCAACCACAGGTGCTGAATAATATGGGGCTGCATAAGCGGCATATGCTACACTTGGTCCTCGTGGGCCTGGTGCACCTGTACCTCCAATATCGCCTTTCGGTCCGGGATAGCCAGACGGTCCCATTGGCCCTGGAGCTCCCGTTATACCATGTTGACCTTGTGCTCCTTGTGGACCAGGTGCGCCTCTTACACCAGGTGCGCCTACTTCTCCTTGAACTCCAGGATATCCAGGATAACCGGCGTGTCCTATTAGCCCTTGTGGCCCCTGTGCACCAGGTGCACCGATGGCTCCAGCAGCACCTTTGTCGCCTGTATTTCCTACTGGACCCTGTGCTCCTGGATAGCCGGTATATCCCTGTCCACCTTGATCTCCTGTGAGGCCAAGTGGTCCCATTGCTCCTGGAATACCAGGTGCTCCAGCATGCCCAAGTTCACCAAGAGGACCCTGTGGTCCCTGTTCTCCACCTGGTCCTCGTGGACCTTGCATACCTGGTTGTCCAGTCAGTCCCTTGTGGCCTGGATATCCTTGTGGACCACGAGGTCCAGCAACTCCTGGCGCACCAGCTCTTCCCTTGGCACCTGTAAAATTAAAATTTAAAAAATGTCATTAATCGTAATTAATTAAAAATCTAGTTGTTAACAATGATACAGTAAACGTGATAAAATATTCGATCCATTCAAAATTTGGAAGTCTCCAATATGTTATTCCTTCAAATGTAAACGGTCAGAAAGTTTCAATTTACAAACTTGTATGTAGGAATGGTTTGCAAAATCAATATTAAGCTATGACATAGCCTCAAAATCATATTGAAAAACATATAGAAGGTGCACCACTACATGTGATATGAAATTATTATGTCAAGTTCCATTATTTCAAATATGAAATAATAAAAGAAATTGCTGGGTATATATCAAGAAGCCAACAAAAATAAAACACAACACATTGACCCATACGTGTCTATTGTGAAGACCGTATGTGTACTCTGAATCTTACGGAGTACGAAAAGTTGTAAAGAATTATTTTAAATGGCTACCAACACCAAATCTTAAATGCGCAAAAAAACACTAAGACATCAACAAAAACAACCACTGATGAGTTTCCTGACCTGGGACAGGCAGGTATACTTTAAAAAAAATTAAATATCTTATATTGATAAAACAGTAAGTTCTTATAAATAGTAGGTAAGGAGATGCATAGTTTAATTTCCAATCTAACACCTAACTTAATGAACCGTGAAAATGTAATGAAACAGCTCCAATCTGATCCACAATATTGGGTACATGAGTTGGATACTTAATATAAAATTAAGGAGATGTGGTATGATTGCCAATGAGACAACTATCCTCCAAAGTTCAAATGAACTGGATGCATTAAGTTGTTTTTAAGTATGCAGAATAAAATAAAGAATTTTATCAGAATGGATAAATTCACCCAAAACAAGTTAAGATAAGCATAGTATTGTTAAGTATCAAATGTACTGGGGGACAGGGCAATTTTTTTTTACCCTCCTTCTTTTTTCAAAATTCGTTATTTATTTGTTTACTCATAATTTCAATTATTTTCGTGTTTTCCTTTGTTTTACTTGCATTTAACATAGGACAGACACTTTCGTTTTGAACGGGTTATTTTTCGGGTACAGATATTTTTTTAAATAGATACTATTTTTTTGTTATTTTTTTGTTTTAAATTATTTTCAGAAAAAATTTTATGTTAATTCTCTTCTGAAATCATTTTATTATAGAAATTTAGAACCCCGCTTCCCACCAAAAAAAAATAAAAAATAAAACGGTGGCTGGTCCCTAACGTTCAGTGTTCACTCTTTGTGTGTCTACTTGTCCCTGAACTAGATGATATTTGAACTGACTTTATTATATTACTTTTACATTTACAGTTTGTCTCAAATTCAATGAATAAATCTGATGGAAATTAAAATAAATTGCTTTTGTTAATTATTTTTCATGTGAAGGATGTGTTTAGGAATAGTATCTGTAAAATAGTATTCTTTGGAGGAAAAAACGAACAGCAAAATCTGAAAAAAATAATTAAATGATAAAATATAATTATGTACCTTGTCGTCCACTAGGTCCTGGTGCTCCTACCAGGTAGTTATGTCTCTTCACACGTTTGTTTCCCTTGGCGTCAACTGAAGAAAAAAGACAGAATGATAATGTATTTCAATAGGAATATATATGACATTCGTGTTTTAAGTTCATTGCTTGCTGTATAATAGAAAGTTTATATTTTTTACTCTATAATGCACAGCGTGCACCAGTCTATTTCAAGCGCAAGTATAATTTGAAAATTTGTACACGGCTACAACATTGTTCGTGCATGGTATGACATTGTGCTTTGGCTAACTTGGCAAGAAGCTTCTTAATATGTCGCCCTAATTTATCTTTTCTGTTACTTTTTGCTTTGACGAATAGGATTACCATTTAGATTGTAGATAAGAGTAAAACTTTAATGTTGTGGAGAATTTTGATAATAAATCTGGTTATCTAATGTCAACGAGTGACCCTAGTATTTCTATTTTAAACAAATTGTTGAACTAAAAAGAACACTTAATAAATATCTTTTTTCTTCAATAAAATATCTATAAACATATTTTATTAACCATACTAACTGAATTACTGTTGACAGTATCTTTCTGATTGGAAAGAAAAAAAAAACGTTTAGAATAGAACAAAATAAAAACAAATGCACAAATGTTTTATTATTCCAATTTTTGCTATTTTACATATTGTCATGATCAGTTCTTCGGAACGGCCATGGTTTCATTAATATTTAGTGTAATATTCAATAAATAATTCAATTTTCCAAATTGATTTAAAAAGAGTGTTGTCACTACCTCTATCGTCCTGAACATGCATGAAATATTTGACACTGGATGTTAAGCAACTGACAATCAATCAATCATTCCATCTCCCTTGTGTTAATGCTCAGCAATGATAAAACCGACCTTATACCATTATGGGTATTCCTGATTGTATAACGTATTTGTCTTTACAAGCTTTATTTGAACTTGAGTGAACTTGATGAAGGTTATTCAATGAAGGTGTGTCGTGCACGAAAACATGAAAAATACGTGTGTCGTGCACAAAAACATGAAAAATAAAGGCGCGAAAATGTAATAAAAAGGTGCGCGTCAATGTAATGATTTTACGCACAAATGTTATGGTCATAAGAGCGCAGATGTAATGCACCGCCTTTATCAGTAGGAGCAACCTGGTGTAAAATGGAATTTTATTGTTTTCTGATTATCCGAAATCTTGAAAATAATACAAATTACAAACCGGATATCGTTTATAGAAAAGTTATTTTTACTGATGCACTTGATAAGTAGAAAAACAAAATAATTTAATTATGATATAATGCCACTTTTAATACATTAAAACAAAACAAATATGGTATAATACCTAAACTTTCGTGAAATTCTTTCATTTGTGATAATATTTGCTAATATTTTGTTTCAGATATTTTGTTAGCAAAAAATTTTGACTTAACAACATGAAAAGAGTTCTGGGAAACAGATTTTGTGTAAATTAACAAGATTGTCTTCTGAATTTTAATTTTGGGACATTATTGAAAATTTTAGCATATTTTTCTTAAATTATATATCGAAAGATATCATTACCATAAATGAATTAATTTTTATCTGATGGACAATATTTTAAAATACTTCCAATAAAATTTTGGTTTGGGTTAAGAATGTCCATATAATTACTCAAATTTTACCAAAATTAAAGTGTTTAACCATCTAAAGGTATATATAATTTGATCAAATGTTCTGAATTACATATACACTAAAGTGTTGTAACTCATATGAACTTTTCAGTAAAGATTGAGGGACTGGACATCTAATTTGTACTAGGAGGATTCTGGATCCTACTGAATCTGTACTGTAACATATACTAGTGAATCATCCTTTAATATTATCAGTAACCTGAAGAATTTAACAGTATTTTAAATATATAATCTTTTAACAAGAAAATGTTCAACTGGATGTAAAATGTTTGACATTTAGTGAAAAAGACAAAAAGGTTATTCAAAATTTATAGAATAAAGGAGTTTTAAAAAAAATAAAACTGTTATTTATAAATGAAGAATCCTACCTTCTTCCTCATCCTCAGTTACCCGGATATTATCGAACTCTCGCCTAAGCTCTCTAGTTTTAGTCTTTAATTCCTCAATTTGACTTTTTAGGTCCTTCAACTTTCTTTCGCATTCCTCGGGACATGCACTAGCGTACGACACAGCCGCAAACAGAACTAAAAGGAGCAATTTCATCTTTGTAGAGCTTTGAGTCTTTGACTACCTCAAAATCCTGATCTAAGCTTTTATAATAAAATACTGTTTTCCTTTCTTGTTCAATTAAATGTAGGCGTTTTAGAGGGAACTTCTCAAAGAGTATTTTCAAACACAATTCTTACATTTCATTGGCTAGTGTTTTATTGAGGACGATCTTTTAGTAAGACATTCTCAAAATTAAGAGTAATGTTATAAAGTGATATGACTTCGAGCGTGACTTCAAGCTTAATTACGGGAAACAAAAGAGTTCACACAGAAACACATGTTGCTTTATTTTAAACATTTGATTTTAAACATATGTTTTATGTTCTGAATGTTCAATCAAATTGTCTATCTGAAAATTGGTCTAACAATAAAAATTTTACTAAACATTAGTTATATTAGCAAAAGATAGATGTATAGAAAAATACTTGAATAATTAATAATATTTAAGTACTCGTATTAAATAAAAAATAGTAAGTCGTTAACGGATAGACAATTTCATAGTCAAATAACAAAAAATGCGAGAATTATTAATAGTACAGAAAACATATGGTTAAACAACAGAAACTCACAAAAAGCAAGGTTATATGAGATGTTTTGGAAGCCGTTTTTGGTTTCTTTCTCCACTAATGACACATGTTTTGCTTATGACAAGTAAAGAAACAAATTTAGATTTAATTTCTACAATGTTTTACAGGTTGCAGGATAATCCGATGATTCCTATGTTTTCAGCAACAATGTTAGGTTATTTCCTGGAAAACAAAATACATTTTAAACTTTGACTCCAGACCTCAAAGTTCTAAACCTATTATTTTGAATCATTTACGTATACAATACTATTTATAATGTATATAATTAGAAAGACCTAGCTTTTTATTTTTCAAGACTGAATATAAAATATCTGTAAATTCCATTTATATTTCATATATATATTTTTATAAAATAAAAAGTCCTTGGTACAGAAAATATTATTTAAGAATAAAAAACACTCAAAACATCACAATGTATACTATAGATATACTATACAATTACTGGAAAAATAGAAACGAAACGGAAAACATTATGAACCCTTTTATTCAAGATAAATCATCGGACCCCCTTTACTATAAAAAACAAGACTGCTACAAATATTATCTGAAAATATCGGGATAGTAAACAGTCAAATGACAAGTCACACATAAAAATGTCGGGGAAAACAGAAAACCTGAAACTCTAAGTACAAGACAACTTCAATCAAATGAGGTCCATTCAGAAATCTTACGTTTCAAGGTAGGTTTTTTTTCAGACAACAATACAGACAAGAACTATATGGGAACATAGGGAAATCGGACATTCAGTAAACAAGACAGAATAGTGCAAAATACAAAAATGGTAAACATCAACACATACTCAAACGTGTTTCGGAACATTGGAAACCTTACATCCAAAGCATAAGTCAGACACAATAGTATCGAAGAACATTACTAACATTGTAATCAAAGGTTAACAGTATTAAAGGGAAAATTCGCGATTTTTTACTTATCATCTTATTATGTTCATAATACCAATAAAAACATATTCACCAAGTTTTATTTGGATATGAAAACTAATAAAGAAGAAAATTGGGAATTATTAATTTTATTTATTCAAACTTCCTGACTTCTGTGACGTAGTTTAAGTCTTTTTGCATGCCGGGAGTGGAATTAATCTCATTTAAGTCTTGTTCGTTAACCATCTAATAACGCGATTTAAAGCGCATCGACGACTTTTGGTGTAGCTATTAACCAACTAAAAATTAAGAAAGTAAAGTGATCAGTAAAATTAAATTGTAGGATTTATGTTTTAAGGATTTCTGATATGATTATAGTAATAAAAGTAAATCATACAATAGAACATTTTTATGATATTTTTTCCTACGAATATTTTGAACAAACATATATAACTGACATGATTGATAATGTATTAAAAATGCATGTTTGTATTCTGACCTTTTACTTAAGTCTAGCAAACATTTCCAGCTAGTACTGTGTAAATACAATGTGTAATGTACTGTGACACTTAGTGACTGTTGAATGCGTGGTTAAACTCAAGGTAATTAAAATATTAGCATTCTGTAATTCTAATCTTTTGATCTTCACTCAGTGAATCTTAGCCGTCACGGTTCACCGTTCCAGGTGTGAACAACATTTTGTATGAATGATAAACGGGTGTGATAGTTTTAGAATCAGAAATATAAAAACGAAATATAATTATTTTGGGGGAGTAATAAGGTTGCACAATAACTGGATAGTCGTGGTATATTTTTATATTTTGCGTAAGCTCAGTTTAAAATGAATTATGACCGCTGTCACTGTTTGTGTAACCATGAAATACTGAATTGATTTAATTTGATAGATTTATAAATAATAATGGCCTTCTAAACACGAGTGTATGAACTAAAAATTGTACTATTTCAAATTAGAATCGGTAACCTTTATTATTTAAAATAGATAATTACCAATTGTAATTATATAATTTGGTCCGTCCAAAGCGATCTTTATTTACATATTCATGAATTAATGTTCTCATCAAAATATTTTAAATCTGTCTCTGTCACAACGTAAAAATACTTCAGCTATTTGAAAAAAGATGTTTAAAAATTTGACAGGAAATTCTTGGAATGGAATCAAATAATTACAAGCAAATATTCTTTTCAGGTGTGAAAAACTTTAAAAAAAAAGGATACCTAATCAGGAATGTCCTTATTAAAATATTCTAAGTCTCACAACGTATAAATACTTTAGCTATTTGACCAACGATGTTTTAAAAAAATGACAGAATCAATCTAACGTCAACCTTCCTTTTTGTGAATGGAGACAGACCGGCGGAATCAATTTTCAATGTCCTTTATATCGTGTACCTTTGCAAGACTTATAATTCATTCATAAACCATGTCTATACCAGAGACATATATACATATATAATTATATGTCTGTTTTAACTGGCAAGAATACTATTCATTTCCTCTTTCGGTCTGAAAATAAGATAAGAATGTGGTAAACAGAACATGCAGAAGTGTGAATGTCATAAAACCTTGTTATATCACAAACCATTATAAATGTGAACCTGTATACGCAAGACCTCATAGGACGACACCTAACCACATACAAGTAATATACAAGAAGCTCTGTTATACCCGGAAATGTCATGGTTAATCACTACCGATACATAATGTACCAATGCAAAGAAAATTCTGATGATTGTGAAGCATGGCCATTCATGATTTTAGAGTAGTCTTAGATGGGGATTGCCGAAACGATTTAAATTCTGACTAGATTTTTTCTCAATTTAAATCACTGAACTAAAAAAAAAGGAGAAAAGTACGTCCAAAAACAGAATTCTTCTTGTAAATTCATAAATAAAACGCTCTTATTTTGTAACTTTCGATAGACCTGACCTCCAACACGCCCCCTCCCCCCCCCCAAAAAAAAACCAACAACCTGGGAACCCTAATTACATCTAACAATGTTTATGTCCCTGCCCAAATCCCCCCCAAAAAAGAAGAAAAAAGAAAGAAAGAGATGAACGGTATTTCACATCAGATTCAGATATTTATATAGTTGATTGTCGTTAACTAGAGATCAGTGCATAGTGACATGTCTCTGCGTTAATTGATAAGAATAACAGGAAAGTATAAACTTGAAAAAAATAGATTGATGATGAATAATATGCGGCACCCCTTTTTATCAAAGCGTACCGTCATTCATGTAAATGACTGTCCGTTATTTCATATCAATTGTACGTGAAATCCTATAGATGGTGAGACTTTTTTTACCAGATATGCGACTTTTCGTATTTACATTTTTTCTCATGTTTCTCTTATCATAGATGTAATAGCTGGCTATTATATCTATGCTCTTATTTAATATTTTATGCATACTAAGTGCAATATTGGGAATGGTTTATTCACCCACAATCTAACGTAATAAATTAATCAACCCTCTTGCTGGTCAGACGTTAATACAGTACTCGTTAATTTATTTTTTGTACAACTACTATCAGTCTATCCGAAGTGAAGTTTCTTTATTTCTTCAAATAGACTTTTTTGGATCATTAGTGTACGTCCAGTGGCATATATTACATGCATGTCGGAACAGGAAAATTGACATAAGGTACTTTCAGAACCATGTTCACTTTATTATACATTATACAATGGAAGTAATATTAAATATTACTTCCATGATTATACCCAACAATAGTGATGATGATGAATTTCTTCAACTGTTCGAGAACAATCTAATTGAAATATAAATCTGTGATTTTACTATGTCCATAACTTCGATGAACCAAAGCAAGTTAGATATCGACCTGTATTTAAATCAAATTGTTCTGGATGTTTCTTTCTTATATTCAATATACATGTATATATTTTAAATTGCGACTATCTATAGTTCCGTAACTTTCTATCCAGGCGTATAAACCAATGATCGACAAGTGCGTACATTTTTGTTAAATCAATATTTCTTGTATGTTTCAAAATGTCCATCATTATTGACAACGAGTATATACTTACATTTTCCCCAATTTACCCTTGGAAAAAAATTTGTAAATAGATTTTTATTTTATCAAATCTTTTTTTGGAATTATTTAGATTTTCATAAATAGTATTCTTTACACCAGAAATGTTATTTATAAACAAACGTATGAGTTTAGTAATGACAGAGATGTCTCTGGTAATGACTAGTATATCACTATCGGCACGCAAGACAGAGATGTATATTATACACCTGATAGTTTCAAAATGGAAAGTTACAAGTTATCGGCCGTGTACACTGATCAATACTCTCAGAAGTGAGACGATGCATGAACTTGCTTTATGTAATTGTGTAATAAGAGTTTTTAAGCCCGACAGGAAATCGCTTGAATACCTGGACGTGTCACCTCACAATACCTTTGGGACTAATACCTTAAGCCATGCTGGTGATCAGATAAGGGAAGGTCCGAATTTATTTAAATAAGTTTATTACATAAAAGAATTATGAACAAATAAGATTTTCGAAAACAATTTTACACGGAACACTTATTTATGACTTTGAACTT